CTAGGGTAATGTATTTGTCCTACTTGACAATATCTGGGCTTTGCTGTAGAAGGTACCTGAGAATTTTCAATTTATTCTGGACTGTGCCTTTTCAAGATACTCTAGAAGTCATCTGGTCTGTACAGTAATGCCCAGCAGTGGTGTAGAGAGAAGCATCATACAGAGGAAGAGATTACTCCTTCCTCAAGAAATCCTTTGCCTTGAAGGCAGAGAGAAGATAAAAGCTTTACACACAGAAAAACATACTTTCAAAGCAAAAGTTTTTACAGAATGGCCACCCAGAAGACAAAGACCATTGTTTCATCCCCAGCCAGTGGTGGTAGAAGCAGCTATGCTAAGATGGGATCACAGGACCTCAGGAGTTCATCTCATCCAACCTTCTGCCAAATAAACCTTCCACGAATCTTGAAGAGGCACAACACAGGGACAGATGATGCATAGGGAAGCCCTCAAGTAAGAATCAAGACAGAAAAAAAATGCATGTCTGATTAAGAGAAATCATTATGTTCCTGATGTAATTGTTCACCAAGCAAGAGAGAAAACTAAAACCATCAGTGGTTTAAGAGAAAATAAAAGATATTGGAACAAACAGCTCTGACCTGTTTAATGCCATTGATACAGGAACATGTCCTGTAGCTGTTTTGGTTCTGCTCCTTTTCTGACCTTAAGAAAGTAAATTCCCAGGATAGACCTCTGCAGGTAGAGTTGAAGACTGCGTGGATCAGCTCTCATTGAAGACATCTCACTTGATTTTTGTTTTCAATGACCTCCCCATGAGCATGGTGTTGTGAAATTTTTCATTTCTGGATTTTTTAATGGAAGAAGCGAATTCTGCTCACAGATGTCCCAGTCTGCCCATCAGTGTTTGGCAGCACTGGGCTGGGTGGAAGATACTTAAATATTTTCCTAGAGAAACATTTTGATTCTCTCGTGTTCCTGTTGTGACTGCTGCCAGCTGGTGCTATCCTATGAGCTGGTCAGCTGCCAACTAGTGAAATGTTTGGGAAGGCATGAAACACTCAGTATCTCTCACTGAAGAAATATATTCACGTGTGTGTGTGTGTATATAGATTGATAGATATAGACAGAGAGAAAAGTTGGGGGAGAGGTTATATATAACCACAGGTCTCCCCTGTGCTGCTAATACCACCACTTTCCTCCTTCAGGGATGTCACACACTAGGATTCAAGCTGATGACCTGAGGAACTTCAGTATTCACTGATGATGACACACCTGTGATGGACAGCCTACATCTCATTCTAAAATGTCAGCTTTGAACCTTTGCACCCCACACCTCCTTCAGCCCATAACCAGGAACTCAAGACTGACACGTGTTTTGAAGACCCCCCATTCAGCCTCAGAGAAGGGCCCAAGAGACTGAGCATCATTTGAGGTTATTGGCTGAGCTGGAAGTATCCCTAAAAATAGGTTCTTTGACTTCAACACTTCTGAAACTGTCCATAAAAAAGAAGCTAGGGTCCAACTGCATTAATGCTCTTGGGTCACAACCCATCTCCTGCATCAGTGGGAGGATGAGCTGATAGAGTGTCAAGTGCTGTGAACAGAGAACACAGAAACCCAACAAGTTCAGTGACAGCTGATGCAAGACATTTATTGATATGAACTCAGCATCTAACAGCATATCTTGCATTTGATTTTTTTCTGTGTGTGTGTCTTTTCTTTTTGTACCTCAAGCAAACTGAAGTTTCCACTTTATTAATACCCACTTGTCTGCAGGAAATAGAGTGTCAAGTGCTGTGAACAGAGAACACAGAAACCCAACAAGTTCAGTGACAGCTGATGCAAGACATTTATTGATATGAACTCAGCATCTAACAGCATATCTTGCATTTGATTTTTTTCTGTGTGTGTGTCTTTTCTTTTTGTACCTCAAGCAAACTGAAGTTTCCACTTTATTAATACCCACTTGTCTGCAGGAATTTTAGTAAAACATTCATTGTATTAAAATCCTTAATACAGCTGCATGTTTTCATCTACAAGAAATAAATTCCCACACATCTCATTAGTTATCTACACAATTTAATCACTTACAAGCATAATTTTTAACCTCTAGGAAAATATTTTGAAAGTACATGTAATGAACTTTTCATAAACCTTTCACTTTTTGAACAGAGTCCTGCATGGGATTTCAAAAACTCCTTTCAATTGATTCTCTTTTGCATAAATTTCAAAAGAAAATATAAACAGATGTTAATTGCTTTGAGCTAATGAATTATAATTATTTCTTTCATGACCATCTGAACTGCAGCCTTAGAGCTTCTTTAGAAAAACCTGAGTGTCAACCACAAGAGGAGGAAACCTTTACATTCCTTTACACATCTTCGTTATCTTTTGTATGAATATTAGATTTTGAAGACTATCATAGGGCAAATTCTTTTCTCAGCAATATCCTCATAAATCTGAATCAGAGCCACTTCCTTCTGTGGAATAATTCTAGATTGCTACTGGAATAACTGAGATCAGAATCAGGCCCAGTAGAAAAAACAATCATTTAGTTTTGAAAGAATTTCCCCATTGTGTGTCTGTTACTTTCCAATGTACAGTGCAATATATGAAAAAAGCACTAATATATATATCCATCATATTGCTTAATTATAAAACAAACAATATAAACCAAGGAGATGTTATAAAAAATGGGAGAATACCATAAAGGAAGTTTGATTTCCTTCACCACATATAACCACTGGAAAAGCATCCTATATCATGAAGGTAGTGCATATGATATTACACATAACATCCTGTCTGGGTGGTGAAAGTGAACATGTGAAATCAACATGTTCATTTTAGTCAGGACATGATCAAGGTGCAGCCAAAGAAAGAAAGAAAATAGAATGTGTTCTTTTCTCCAAACACCTTTTGTGAATTCAGTCCCTCCTAGCAGGAATATTGTCTCAAGACTCCAGAACAAGCTCCTCAATATTACCTGGGTAGAAGACACTGAGACAGCATCAGATATACATTCCCAAGGCAGAAACTCAGTCCCAGCCTCTTACTTTATGCTAGTTAGAAATTCAGCTGTGTCTGAGCATTTCTGGTTTCCCACACCATCTAAATGAAAACATTTTCTATTGCAACACTTCTACAGAGCTCAGCTGGGACAAGGTGGGACCTTTCACCACATCTCTGTCCGACAGAGAGGAACAGTGCTTGGTCCTGCTGAGGTCAATGACAAATTCCACCTGACTTCAACTGGCACCAAAAGTTTGGGCCTATGAACTCATTTCTTTCCAGGGCTGAGCACTTTGTTGAAGGTCTGTGCAAGATCCATTTTTTGGTGAAGACAACAGGAATGGGCCATGCTAGTGCACCTCAGCCTTCCACTCAATCTGCTCTCCCACTGCAGAGTTCCAGAGGAACTCCACAGAAGGCAGTCACTCTACAAGACATCTCAATATTCTTGGTTACAGTAAGATGATGCAATTGCAACTGGCAGTCCAATCCATTTTGAACAGATGTATTTTTCAACCAAACATTTATGGTAAAATTCTCTTATCTCTATCTTTTGTTTTTAAACTGTCTTTGTGCTCCTGCTATTTTGTGGTAGCTCAGTGGTGAATTCCTCTTAGGACATATAGGGGACAATATCCATCAATCTGTTAACAGGAATGTTTCACCACTGGCATGTACAGGAGATCAAATATTCTTCCAGTAATATTTGTTGGCAAAGACCACATTTGTGGTTCTTTGTATGTGTTAGCATTTGAATGCAGGTGCAGAAATCATTTTGTGCAGCACTTTAATCTTTTGGTGCATGTCAAGTAAATTACATTTTAAAATATACAGTTTATAAATCCACATCACTAGAATGCAGAATAATGAAATCTCCATTATTAGACAACTAGGAAGTGGATTTGAAAATACGAGTCATTTAGAAAAGATGGTCTTTTTCACTTAAATCAGAAGAGAACAAAACTCTTGCTTCCTCATGTCAGTGGGACTTTCACCATTAACTTTAGCCAAACTGGGATTTCAACCAAAAGGCCTGAGCAGCCCTTTGCATCCCTAGTAGACATAATATTTATGGTATATTTCATCCTGTGGCAAAAGTTTAAAATAATGGAACCAGACTGTGCATGTTGAAAGGTTTATGAAGAAATTTGGGTAGAGCTAGTTGTTGTCAGAAGTGTATCGCAGAGTCAAAGCAGTGTGAAGCTTCGTGACCTTTGGGCCCACATGGTGACAGGAGACACTTTAGCTGGAAACAGTCCTCCTATCCTGGGCTGCTGAAGGATGCTGAAAAGCTTATTTTTCACCTTCTTGCCATACCACAATGTACCAATCGGCACTTGAAATAATTTATAAGTTCATGGACAAAGCACACTTAGTCATTTCTAGTTCTGTCATAGGTAGGAGAATTAGGTTTTTTCTAAACCTACCATCACTGCTCCACTATGGAATGATATATGTTCACCTCGACCAAAGCTTTTAAAATGACAAACTCTTCTGACAGACTGTTCCCTTTAAGACTGGAAAAGCTTGACATATCATATTTAAATATATTTTCCTCACAGGTATTCCCTTGTACATTACCTTGTAATCTTTGTCACCAAATTCCCCTCACCTACAACAATTTTGATTAGTTTTTTGTTTTTTCTTAAAGCTGCTTTTTTTTTTTGCATTAAAAGTTATGCTTGCATCTGCTCAGCTTTGGGAGAGGTCCTCTGTGCTGATGTGCAAGGTAACAGGCTCGCCAACAGTCCCATAGCTGAGGGTTCTTGTGGAAACTTCAGTTTTAAAGCTTGACTGTCCGTTGTCTGCTGAGCGCTGGACTTCAGTGCAGAATGAAGGTTTCACGGTGAAGGAGGGAGCAGAAGGTGCTGCCATGCGGCTGTCACTCACGTGGAAAGAGATGTTTGATGGGCCTACAGACTGCACACCACTTACTCTAGCTGCTGACATGAACATGCCCCCAGGAATGTGCTCCTCAAACTGGCTGAAAAATCTTTGCCTAGGCTCAGACACCACAGGTCTCCCCAGGTTCAAAAAAAAAACTCATTGATCTCTGTCTGGAGCACGGAGATCTCACAGGGTTTCTCTGCCATGAGCTTCTGATCATCACACCTGTAGGTCTCACCTTCCTGAGGAACATAATCTTCAAGATCCTCCAGAGTTAGTAGTTTGCCATTGTGGGTTAAAATCTTGCGGTCCCGGGTGCTAATGTCATCTGTCTGTAGTTCCTCTGGCTCATCAACTATGACATTATCCTCTTCAGGAAGGATGTCTTGAATTACTTCGGGTACTCCCTCTTCAACAGGCCAAGACATGTCCAGTTCATCTACCTCTTCCTTAACCTCTGGACTCCCTAATGAGAACACAATTTCATGCTGGTCTGCAGCAGCTGTCTCAAAGCTGAAGACCATAGGCTCACCCCCACAGGCAAGCAGTGGGGAGGCAACCTCTGACCCATAGTTAGCACTTGGTTCCTGATGGAAGCTCTTTCCTTCAGTTCCATAATCCATAAATGAATCATTTTCTAATTGTTCAGACCCACATGGGGAGCTCCTGTCTTCATTGCTGACTTGAGGCCCTTCCTGCTCAGCTGTATACACCAGGGGCTGGATATCACCTTCAGAGAGACTCTCAGTAGGTAAAGATTTTGGCTGCTCCACCAATTTATTGTTGGAGTTGTTTGTGTTTGGATCATCTTCTGGGGAATGCCTCAGCCTTGAGCTGGGAAAAGTGTATGTCAACACCCCTGAGTCATCTTTTTCTTGTTTTACTGGGGAAGAGCCTCTTTTCCTTGCAGGTTTTGGTGATTTTTTCACCTTGAATTCAATTATTTCTTCCACTTCAACCCATTTGGGCTTTTTCTCTTCCACCTTGGTCTCTATGACATCCTCATCTCTAGCTGCTGCTCCTTGCCTGTCCTCTGGTTCTGTGACATAAAGTCTGGGAACAGCAGACTTTGGTGTTGCCTCCTGGTCATGTCTGTGGACAGGCTGCCTGATCTTTGAGACATACACTGGCTCTGGAGTTGGCTCTGCTCTTGGGGAGCGAGAAGGTGAATGACCTGAAGAAGAACGTGCAGGAGAAACCCTTGCCCTTTGTCTTGGGCTCTTCACCACAGTAGTTATCGTTTCCTCTCTGATGACAGAAAGGGTTGGAATGGAGTTGGCAGGAAGATAGGACTTTTTGGGGAGCCACACTCCATCAGCACATGCCATTCTTGGTCAAGGCACCACAGTGGGGTTAGTTTGGTGAGCACTCCAGCTGTGGGTGAAGCTTGGCATTTTGGAAGGGAGACACACGCAATGCACACACCCACATGCCCATCTCCACTTACTTTCTGATCTAGGGAAAACTCCAGTGCCCTTTCCCCCAGCTGGATCCCAATTGCATTAACCTCCTTGAGTGCATGAACACACAATGAGCATGTCCAGCTGAGAAATGTACTTCTGGATGCTGCTATGTTTCATGTGATTGTGGTGACCACCTAGTGTGCTTCTTTGGACCCCAATAGCAGCTTCACCCAAACACCTTAAAGTCTCAAGGGGTTTAAGCTTTTCCTGAGTATCCTTGGCTAAAATCCTAGATTCATCAACCCCAATGGCTAAATTCCCTGTAATAACAGTAAGCAGCTTTTGAGACCAGAGATCTGTATTTCTGCATGCAGAACAGTTACATTAAAAGGGCATTAACCCATAACATGTGGAGACCAGGAAAAGAAAGAGCATTTCCTGCACCAGTCATCTATGCCAAAGTGCATTTATTTTTACTCTTCATAATATCATTATTGCTGACACAGCCTGATCCTGCTATCTCCAATTGACATAGGAATACCAAACCAATTTAGGATGCATGATTATGATTTCTCAGCATATTTCTGCTGGCCTTACTTTAGATTTTTTCATATAATCAAAGCAATTGGGACTTCAGGGCTGGTGATGGATGCCTAATCCCTGTAAATATTCAAGGTCTGGCTGGATGGGGCTCTGACTAACATTATCTAGTTGAAGATGATGATGGGAATTGGACTAGGTTATCTTGAAAGGGCCCTTCTAACCCAGCACCTAAACCCAGACTTCAATGCTCTTAATTTATATATTTAACATGCAGTTTTTCCTGCAGGTTTTTCAGTGGCATTTCTTAAATGGAAAAACTTGCAGATAAAGACACAGTTTGCTTTGCAAGCACATGGAATCTAATGCTCTGCTTCTGGTTCAGTGGAAATCACAGGTTCTGTCCCTACCTCCAAATGATTGGATAAATAAAGAATTAACTGAGGGGTAAAAACAATGGCCTAAACTGGATTTATGAATCTAGACAACAGTTTCTCATTTCTCTTTTTCTCCTTATCAGCCTTCAGTCACTGCCACATGGGGCTGAATGTCAACCCTTCTGCTCTTCAGCCCTCTCTGCTCTGGCTCTTGCACCGAGATACAGAGAAGGGTGGAAGGAATCCTTGTAAATGGAGAGCCTGTTTATAACCATCATGGAAGACTAATCCTCTTAGGTATATTGTGGTCTTTGTCATCTGTTGGTCTCATTTCCTGAGATCAGTATTGTCTTCTCCTATGGAGATTGGTTTTCTTTCCACCAACAGTCTCTCCCTTTGAGGATTTGGTGGAGTCCAGGACTGGATGACCTACAGTGAGATTTCTTTTTTTCCACAACACCCACTCTTCTACGGCTCACTTCCACTGCTTTACTCTTTTCCCCAAGTTTTCTACAGTTTTTCTATGGACCTATAAGATCTTTGCAGAGCCTTCATAATGCCTTTCTGAATTACTCAAAACTAAATTATTTCAGATAAGAATGAGAATTAATCCATGTGTGATTACACTAGACTTTGCTCTATATTGCAAAGTTCAAATGCTTTTTGGGGAGGGGTCTGGGATTTGAATATATAGATACTGTTCAACCCCATCTCTCAATTATCTGTTATTTTCTGCCAGTAGTTTCAAAATTTCTTGTGTTCCTCAGCTCACAATACATTAAGGACAGCTGGAATGTGCCCTTAGAGAGTTGTTCCTGAACTTGACCCCATTACTATCCTAATTCCAGTAAAGGTCCACTCTAAGAAGTTCATGACCATAAAAGGAAGGAATTTCTGTCATTCCAAGATCCCTACCATGAATTTACCAACCTCCTTTCAGGCTGAACCTCTTAATTTAGGAATTACTTCTTGAGCCAGCCAGAGTCTATGGAATTTGCATGTCAGAGATTTAGAAATCAGCTTAACTGATACCATTTTGTATTAGTTGAATATTATTTAATCAACCAATATTAATGCTGCTGCTTCAGATACAGGCACAGAGATGTGGATAGATGAGATTTGCCAAGCTTTAGATGTGGTCTGACTCAGTGTGATTCCTTCTTGCTCATGACTTTCTTGGGGTGTTTCTGAATGTCGTATCAAAAAATAGTTCTCTGTTTAGCTACCCCACTAGTATCTGAACCCTAGTCCTTGACATGGCACAGGTAAAAACACCTTAGTTTTCTGCTCTTTGCAGGGTAAAAATGATAATGGCTGGAGACATTAACTGAACTGATGTGCAAGAGGGGCAAAGGCAGAGCCTCTTCCTGCCTCTCCTGTCTGCTCTTTGCCTTTTCAAGGTGGAAACTGCTAGGAGAGGGGACATACAAACCACTGGCCCCAAATGTACTAAGTTCCTGGATCATAAGAAATACTCATCATAAACATAATAAAAGAGATGAAAGGTAAATAACTCCTTTAGTTATTTTACATATCCTCCTCACCATCTAACAAAAGGAAATTAAGTCAACTTAAGCATCATGCCCAAGTCAAGGACTGAATTTAGCAATAGTACAACTCATTACCCCAAAATTTGCATTGTAGTCACCTACTACCATTGGGACATGATTTGGATAGCTTGGAGGTGCTCTAATGGCCTACAGAAGGACAGTGTCCTCTTTCCAACACATGAAACAATTTCATTGTGTATTTCTTTATGATCCTTAAACCCAGGAAGATAAATTAAAGTTTTAATGACTACTAAGCTTCTGGTCTACATATGACTGAGAAAATACTGCTTTTTGCAGCAATAATCTTTATATGTTGTAGGCATCCAATATAAACCAGGCTCAAAATACTCCAAAAAGACTAAGTCATTGTCAGGACAGACATTTACATTAGAAATATAGAGACAGAAGGGGATACAAATATTCATCTTCCTTTTGCTTCATCATAAAAGGCTGTCCTGAAAAAGTTAAAATAGAAAGCCAAAAGAAATCACTCTAAGCTATGAGATGTGTGTTAAATTTGTTGGTATTTTCAAGTAGAGGGTTTTTTAAGCTGGTTTCAACACTGTGAGTCAGACTCTGTCTCCTTGAAGTCTTGTGCAACTCTATCAATATTCAGTGGAATATTTTTCATGTATAATATCAAAATAACTGTCCAGGCTGTGTCTAACACCAGTGCTGCTACTTTGGAAAGGGATAAAAAAGACCCTTTTTTTAAGGTGATCACTTTACATAGCACAGAGTTCCATGAGATCTGGTGGGATGGGAACGAACACACTTGCATGGCCAATGAACACAAGCTTGTTATTGGATCATGCAGAGGCAGCAAGGCAAAACACAAGTGTTACCAAAATAAAAAATCAGCACTTACATGATGATGGTTTTCTTGGGCACTTTAGTCTCTTGTTCAGTGACTACAAAGAAAACAGTATGAACAGCATGGGGTTAAAGAAAGGCAAAAGCTGAAATGATTCAATTATCTTCGCTCAGTTAATAAAAATAAACTGGAGTGAAAAATAACCAACTGTCCCATCCCATCCATGCTTTCTGTGGTTATTTCCAGCATCATCTTTAGTGTTTCTGACCAAGAATGAGAATTCAGAATGTTCTCTGAAGAGGTGAGGGATTTAGCTTTGAAATTGAGAATTTTGTGGAGAACAAGATAGCAAAATCTGTTTATTCTCCCATGAGATTCTGAGAGTTTTTTGTTTGGCAGGTCAAAGCTAGGAAAAAAGGTCCTTATTTAATTCTTGTATCCTGTAATAAAGTAGTGGTGGTGTGAGAAACATGAAATTGCCTTGATCTGCAAAATCCCGGAGAGCTAAAATTCTTTAAACTGTGATTTCACTTTCTACAAAGAGTTTCCCCAGACACTGAATAGTTGCCAAGCTTTTGTGGACTAGATGTAAAATCCAAGCTGATAACAATGAAAACTAAAATCATTATCATCAGAGAAAATGAGCTTAAAAAAAAACAAACCACCCTAGGAAACCCAGGAGAGCCCTGTAATACATCTGTGTCTGCTTCATCTCTTTTTTTGCTCTAATTTGCAATTTTTCCTGATCCTTCTCCCCTAACAAACTAGAAGCTGTTGATGCACATCAGGATTAAATATAAGGATTTACTGATTTTTGCAAATATTCCTTAATCCTAACATTCTTAAAAAGAAGAAATATACCATTTGCAGAGCTAATTGAGATTCTCAGCAAGTTCCCCATCCTATCTGCTGGAAAAAAATTATGACACTGAACCAGACTGTTTTGAACACACTCTGTACCTGCTAAACCTGCCTGAGATCTAGAAAAAAAACCAAGAGCAAGGCCCACTTTTTATTTAATAAACTAGTTAAATTTCTAAAAAAAAACCCCTTAATTTAATCTCAAAGTAATTATTCCAGCAATTGGGTTTCAGTTTTCCAGCAAGTCTGTAACAAATAAGGTCTGGTAATTTTGAGTCGGTGCAATTAAAGCGAAGTGCTATTTAAAAATAGATCTATAAAATCACAATCAGATCTTGCCCAGGGAATTTGGAGTGTCTGTATTATTTCTTAAATAACTGATGATTAGTGCTGATGTTTTCAATGGTGCCCCAAACCTGCACTGACTGAAAATTAAAAATGCATTTATAATATTAGTTTAACTTGATTTTCCTTCCACTTCACTTCCAAGGGCTTTCTCCTGCCTCAGGTAAAAACACAAATCTCACCAGAATGAAAATTAATTTTGTGCAAATATTGATGTTAATATCTGACCTAGAGCTCATGTTTTCTTTGCAGAGCATTGTAAAAATCTGAAATCATTTCCCAAAGAGCCAAATGAGTTACTGCAGAATTGGGTGGGCTTAAACAAAATCTGTTTGGAAATTTGAGTTTATACTTACTGGGTAAGTAAAGAGCCAAATTATTTGAAAATCATTATCTCTGAACACAGTTACAATATAACCATTTACCTCTCCTTAATGAATGCTTTTGAAATAATTCAAACCCTGTTTTTAAATGGTGGAATGATCGTTTTTCAAAAGTGGCAGATGAACTGAGTGCTCCAACAATCTGCTACACTCAGGTTTGAGATTTTCACTGAATCTTTAAATCAATATTGTGTAATTTTTACAGAACTTTTAGAAAATCTCATCAAATAATACCATGAGATCAATCCCTGAGCAGCAGATATCTGAGTAAAGATACTCTTTAGGAGTAAAGAGTTCTGATGTAAATAGGGATTAATTAATTTGATTATACACCTGAATATAGGTGTTTTATACGATTATTTTAACAGCAACTGGATTTAGATGTGAATTTAATAATATAAGTTAAATAATTGAATAAATTTAATGAAGTCTCATCATGTTTGTAAGAAGAAGTCTCTTTAATGTTTATTCTATTAATGTCTGTTCTTGCAGTCCTCCTAAATGACACTGACCACAATATTTTTATATGTAGCAGCTGTCAAAGGGATTCAATATTCAATATTCCAAAGTTACGCAGGCCTGGGATGAGGAAGCTGAAAATGGCATCTAGTAAATTTTATATGTGCTATCCAAGGTGTGAGGGAGGATTTGAGCAATCCTATATGAAGGATAGAACCACATGAAAGTAGGATGAGAGAATTCGGGTTTCTTTTTTTGGTTTGGTTTTTTGTTGTTGTTTTCCCCGAGAGGAAAATATTCTGCATCCGTTTTAGCACCAGATTTATCATTTCAACTTGTTCAACAGCATTTTAGGAAAACAGCTTTGCAAAGCAGGAGCCCCTGATAAGCAGGTTAAAAGCTGTAAGCATTAGGATCAGCCAGGGCTTCTAAAGGACTAGACTCCTCTTTGGTTAATATTTTAAAACATTGACTTTCAAGTGTGCTGAAACATTTAAGGCAAGTGAGTCCTCATTGCTCTGAATGGATCAAAGGTGGTTTATGGCCTTTATTACAAATTTTAAGTCTGTTTTCTCCACTCAGAAAAATAAACCTTTTTTTTTTTTCTGCACAGTACATGCTGCTGGCATGAACCATGGAACCACTGCTCTGGTTTCACCCCTATCTGCTATACTTTGGAGCTTAATCTGCCACAAGGGTGCACAAAGCTGGCACAAACTGCTAAAGCTAACCCTCAAATGAGCAATGAATACAATCATAAAATTATTTAGTTTGGAAAAGACCCTTAAGATCATTGACTCCAACTTCTTAGCCAGCACTACCATGTTCACCACTAAACCATGTCCCTAAGTGCCACATCTACAGGTCTTCAAAATCCCTCCAGGTAGCTCAGTTCCTGGATGTAAGTTTCCTAAATTGTGTGAATGAAATGCAAATGTTTTGTGCTCTCTCTCAAAAGAAAAACCAAACGAAAGCAAACTAACCAAAAGGCACCACCTGGTTATATAGTCAGATTGTGCTCTCTTGAATTTACACTGAATTATCCCATGGCTAGGCCAAAAATGAGCCTAACCCATGGAGACAACAGAATAAAAACAATGAGGTAAATACCCTAGTAATCACCCTAATCAGGGAACTTCCAAATGGTCATGGAACAAACTCCTGTGCCCTATTTCTTCAGAAAATGTGTACCACTAAGAGGTCTAATGTTCCTCTGTGTTTTAAAGCACTTTTCCATGTGACAGTCTCAGAGTATTTAGCTTTCCCCTGCAAGGTGGGTATTACCAAACAAGGCAACTAAACTTGCCCAAAACTCTACATGAAATCTAAGGCAAAACTATGAGGAGATTCCTGTTTCCTGGCTGTAACTGCATTGGGAATTTTGATTTATGGCTTTGCTTATCTTCACTTGTGTACCTGACTCCTTCCTTTGCTATTGACTGTCTTGTACATCCTAGACCTGCCCACCCGTATGGAAATGCAGCACCTTTCAAAAACTGGGCTTTTCTTAAAAAATGAACAAGTTAGTGAGCCTGGGATGGAGGAATCACAACAAAAACATGTTAAAAAGGGATGCCAGAGCACATCAGCCTAGATCTGCCATGTGTAGGTTAAGCAGCAAGGTGCAAAGCAGACAGTCAACTTGAAGTCAAAGAGAAGGATCTTCTTTCAAATGCACTTTTTAAAAGTGTTTAAAATTCTTCCAATATCCACAGAAAGAGGATTTTTTTTTAAAGCAACTCTCCATTGACTTCAGTACAGCCACCAGGTGTGGCTGAAGGCAGATCTCAGCTTGCAAGGGGACCCCTTAGTCCAATGGTTTCCATCCTTTTTAGATTTGGTCCTTCCAAAAGACCTGAAAATTCCCATAGTGTGAACTTAAACCCAATGGCAAGAATTTTGATTTTGAGACCCATAGTGACTGTGGGTCATCACCAACTGCAGATCAGGGCTCATAAACCACTGGACTAATGGTGTCCCAAACTGTGACAGTAGGTTTGGTTCAGTATAATAAACAGTACAGAAAGGCAAGAGGATAAAAACTAAAACAGTTGCCACTAAAGCCCCTTTGGTGCCTCAGGAGACTCAGACAATGGTCATTTCACAGAACCAACGATAAATCAGGTAAAACTTAGACTCATAGTGCAGGTGAGCAAGGAAGCAGACACGGTATCTATTTTCTGTTGTAATAGTACCACACAGCAGTAATGTTGTCCTCTTGGTGAAGTTACAAATAATCCTATTTGCACAAATAGAAAGGATTGTAAGTATGGAAAGAGAAAGCCTTCATGAGTTCCATCTGTCCTCCAGTTCTTTGCCAGATGAACCTGATTGTTCCATAAGTAGGTCAAGGCTGGTTTTTGTGAGTCTCAAGAAAGCAACGAATTCCCTCCTTGGCCAAGTGCAGCATGCCAAATTCGTCCCTGATGCAATTCTGCTCAGAACAATCCTCTTGCTCCATGGATGAGCCTATTTTCTCCACTGGCCTGAAGCAGCTTTCTCTGTTTCTCCCTGGAGATGGCTCAGGGATCTATTTTCTTCCCTATTACCACGTTCAAACGATCACACATCACAGACCAAACCTATGTCATAACACCTCTGGAACTTCCAGGCAAACTCCAATCATATTTCTTCAACCAAGCTCACAACGTTTTTTTGCTTATGACTGCAGAAATAACAGCAAATGAGTAATTTGGGGTTGAACATATATATTTGCAACCCCAAGAGCTGAAAAATACTCCTAACACTTTTTACAACTCTTGTTTGCTTTTATGACATCTTCTGCCTGAAAGGAACTTCATCAAGATATACCACCCTAACAGTGATTTATTTGTGTTCCTCTACATCCTGCATGCAACTTTTTTTCTCTCTTTAGGACATAGAAAAGACAAGGCATTCAAGTACTTGAAGGTTTATTCTGCTGAAAAAATTATAGTGCTGCTATGCTAACACCATTCTCCCTGTAATGCTTTTTGATGGGTCTCTGAGAAAGGACTAAAAGGAAAACAAGCTTAGAAAGAAGTCAAGAAAGCCCATAGATCAGGATGCTAATCTTAATAGTTTATTGTGGCTGAATCCTCTCAATGTAATAGCACAACATCAGTGTCTATAGGGGGCTGGCCAAAAGTCAGTCCAGACTAGAACACTGTCTCAGACAGGGCCAACAGCATGGAAAATGATGAAAAAAATATGAGTGGAGGATCATTTTCCCTGAATAGTTTTCCAGACTCCAACACTGGCTGCTCAGCAGCTTCTTGAATCGTAGTGCCTCTGTATTTGATGGCTCTTTGTGAAAGATGATAAAATCAATTATCCCCTGTCAAACACACATGTGAACTCCTATTATTATCACAAGACAATGTGAAAACACTGAAGATTAGGAAAGAAGGTTCTACAGCTATTGGAAAACCTCTGGCTTTTGTTGGCCATGTCTCCATCAACCACAGCTGGTACAGCTCACTGACACTAAGGTTTGCTGTCATGGAATGGCCTGTGCCTATCCTAGTCCTCTTAACCTCCAAATCAGTAATCTATCTATTACCTGTTAAAGATGGTCCCCTGGCTGTATTATCTTCTGAACCACCACTCAGAACTGTTCAAGAGAGACAGCACTGGCTGGTCTACCCTCAGCCAGCCAAGGACACTTTTAAGATGTTCAAAGAACCAATTTTCTATGAGATGTTCCTTATGGAGAGGTAACCACAGATTGGGTTGTGATGGGTTCATAGCAAACATGTCTATGTGGAATGTGGAAATCCATGCATGTGGAAATCCCTTGGATAAGAAGGTAACTTTAGTCAGTCACATCCTAATGGTGTTAAGAAAGAGATGCATTGTTGGACAGGTGTACAATCAAGTCCTGTGACCAATCCATATGAAACTTGCAGGAAAACAGGGAACAGGCTGTATGACTATCCTTGAACTGTCCTAGATAATGGATGAACTAATACTGTTCAGGACATACTGCTGTAAGTTCTGCTTTCTCATTCCTGATGTTCTTCAGTGGTATCTCAGAAACGATCACAATATGCCTCCAGCTTTACGTACTGGCCCATCTAAGTCATGTTCTGCCAGGCTGACACATATTTTCAAGTATTCCAACAGAATAGAAACATTTTTCTTGCACTAGTGGTGGTGTGACAATACCCTTCATTTGCTCCTCCTTTTTCATATAATGCCTTTAGGAGCATTATATGAAGCTGATTTACCAGGTTTGGAAATCAACAGATGGTGATGGGTACAGAGCTGAGCTGCTGTCTACCCATGCACATCTCCATAGACATACAGATACATGAACACCAACAACCAACATGGATAAGATGGCAAATATATTCGATCCTCAATGAGGTGGTTTTAGAGTAGTTCAGTGACATACTTACGGAGCTGGGCAAGGATCATACCTTCTATGGTAATGGCTTGGTCTCCTCTCCTCTCCTGGGTCAGGGCTGCAGCAGTGTGGTGGTAAAGTTCTGCTCCACTTTTTGCAGACCCTAATCTGTTCGTCAGCTAAAGAGAATCATGCAGCACCAAATGAAACACAGGATATTTTATTACACTGAAACCCTCCCAAACACATGAAAAATTCATTGCAATTAAAACAGAAATGAGTGAAGCTGTGACCCCAAGGCTAAACTGAAGTTTGAAGGGACATGTTGCTGCTCAGTGGAGTTCGTGATGATGTTTTACTAAAAATGACTCACACAGACATGTTACAGCATATCAGCAAACTTACTTCTTTCCAGTTTGCTCTGCAGCTTATGACTTGGTCCTGGGGTAGCTCTGTATCTAACCACAGTCACAGATTCCTAAAAAAAAACTTAGGTGGAAAGAGAGGTTTGTTTGTTTATCATCCATTCATCTACTGAGTTTTACTAATCCAAAGGAACACTGGACCTTGGGATCTTAGTTAATGGCAAATGCAAGGCGATCTGATTTTGCTAAAATTCTAGTAGAAGTCTTTAAATTATATCAAACCTCCTAAATATTTCTATGAGCTGAACCATTTACCATGGGGCAGTTGACCCAGGCTAAATTCCTGTTTGTTTATCATCCATTCATCTACTGAGTTTTACTAATCCAAAGGAACACTGGACCTTGGGATCTTAGTTAATGGCAAATGCAAGGCGATCTGATTTTGCTAAAATTCTAGTAGAAGTCTTTAAATTATATCAAACCTCCTAAATATTTCTATGAGCTGAACCATTTACCATGGGGCAGTTGACCCAGGCTAAATTCCTAAACCAAGATCAATTGCTTTTATTGCCAAGGCCTCAGAGCTTATTACTCATTCATTTTATTACAATGAATGCATAGACTATGACTAATTTTCAGAAAACGTTCTACATTTATTCTAATTTACTAGATACTTCCACATATGCTTGCTAAACCAACAGGAATTTCAATGGTTTGTCCTTCCATTTGGACTTAATTTCTTGCTTTTGACTTTGGATGGTTTCTTAGCAGCAGCATGAATGTATCATAATTTAAAGACTGTCCAGAAACAAAATGTCATGCCAGAATGGTCCTAAATTTCGTTAGCTTCCTCCTAAGATCTGAATCTGAGTTTAAGCTCCAAAGCAAGTTCAAATGATTATTACTTCTACCAGCAAACTCTCAGATCAGAATATTCTGAAGCTTTTGGATGTTCACAATCCAGACCTAGTTCAGCCTGATTTTCTATCAATTTTTTTTATATGCCAGGTGGCAGCAATTACTCAACCACTAATCTCATGTCATGGATGTCTCCCAGTAAAATGAATTCTCCTACTTATCTAATTTCAGATAACATATTTAAATCTCTCTGAACTTACCTCACATTCATAGTGTCCCATATCTTCATTGGAAGGATTCTTGACCACCAGGACTAACATGCCACTCCGTGGTTCACTGAAAGTCTGGTATTTACTTGAGTCCTTCAACAGTACCCCGTCTTTGTACCATCTGTGTATGGAAAACATGGAGTATAAGCCAAGAAAAAATATGCAGTGTCAAGGAATCCCAAGCTCACTGGTCCCTTTATCAAACTGCTCAAGAGTTAATCCTTAGACAAACAGTTGGATCCTGGAAGGTAGGGTTACAGGTGGGTAGATCACACATGGATAGTAAACTGCACAGCTTTAAGAGATTCTTCTTGGGAAATCTTACAATGAAGTGACAGGTTAAGGGTTGGACTTGATGATCTTAAAGGTTTCTTCCAACTGTGATTATTCTGTGATTCTACCTCATCGGTCAATGCAGGAATCACAGAATCACTCGGGTTGGAAAAGACCTCTGAGATCAAGTCCGACCTATGACCTAACATCACCATGTCAACTAGACCATGGCACTACCTGCCACATCTAGTCTCTCCTTAAACACCTCCAAGGATGGTGACTCCACCACCCCCTTGGGCAAGCCATTCCGGTGTCTAATCACCCTTTCTGTAAAGAAATTCCTCTTAATACCTAACCTAAACCTCCCGTGGCACAGCTTGAGACTATGTCTTCATGTCCTTTCACTAGTTGCCTGGGACAAGAGACTGCCCCCAACCTGGCTACAACCTCCTTTCAGGGAGTTGCAGAGAGTGATAAGGCCACCCCTGAGCCTCCTCCAGGCTAAATAACACCAGTTCTCTTAGCCTCTCCTCATAGCACTTGTGCTCCAGACCCTTCACCAGCTTTGTTGCCCTTCTCTGGACATGCTCCAGCACCTCAATGTTCTTCTTGCAGTGAGGATCCCAGAACTGGACACAGGACTTGAGGTGTGGCCTCACCAGTGCCAAGTACAAAGGGACAATCATGTCCCTAGTCCTGCTGGCCACAATATTTCTGATATAAGCCAGGATGCCATTGGCCTTCTTGGCTACCTGGGCACACCAAGGCTCATGTTCAGCCACTGTCAGTCAGCACCCCCAGGTCAATCTCCACTGGGCAGCTTTCCAACCACTCTTCCCCCAACCTATAGCACTGAATTGGTTTATTGTGGCCAAAGTGAAGGACCCAGCCCTTGGTCTTGTTGAACCTCATACTGTTGGCCTCAGCCCATCTATCTAGCCTGTTCAGGAAAAGGGCTTTGAATTGTGAGAAGATATGCTGAGCTTTTTTTCTGAATACCCCTGACTGGTTGCTGATAAAATCAAATCAAGTGAAAGGCAGAGAAGATAAAGAAATGATAAAATATTGTCAGAGCATTAGATATGATACTCAGGGATTATCTGTAGATAGTTCTTTCTGTTGCTAGCCAGAATAAACTGCTGAGAATCTCAGCAATGTTGGTATTGGGAAAAGCCAGCACTGGGATGAGGTTAAGGTGGAAGACACAGAGAAGAAAGAGTCATAACCTTGGTAGACTTTCTTGACTATGCAAAATGGAAACAACTGATTTGTAGGACTGACCTGATTTGAGGCCTAGGTGCTCCTTCGACAGTGCAGGTAAACTGAGCATCTTCACCCTCCACAAAATAAGCATTTCTAACCTTGTTCACAAACCGTGGTGGAACTGCAAAGCAAAGAGAAATGTAATGAGCAGCTGGAAATGTGACCAGATAGGAAGGATGTGTCCTTGACTAGACAATTCTCATGGTGCCTGCACACAGGACACTAAGGACCAAATTGTTTTGACCTAAGAACAGTTGACTGTACCTGTATACTCAATAACCTAAAAAACATAATTACCCAGTATAAGTTACACAGAACTTCTGGAATGTTTAATATTTGCAGCATCGTAGAAACACAGAATCATTTAGGTTGGAAAAGACCTCCAAGATCATTGAATCCAACCATTAACCCAGTCCTGCTAAGGCCACCACTAAACCATGTCCCCAAGTGCCACATCTACACATGTTTTGAACACTTCCAGGCATGGTGACACCACCACTCCCCTGAGCAGCCCGTTCCAATGCCCTGGTCCTGCTGGCCACACTACTGCTGATACAAGTTTAAGGTATAACATGGCTGACCCCTTTAGAACAATGCATTTGTGCAGGAATTTACCTTGAACAAGGATCTTTCCTAAGGTACTGGCATTTCCAGCAGGACTGGAAGCAAAACACATGTATTGTCCTGTGTCAGCACCTGTCAGGTTGTCCAAGATCAATGTGCAGGAGCCATCAGGATCTTCTATTATAATGTGATGGGGATCCACCTCCACAGGCTTGCCATCTTGAAGACAAAGGGAAATTATTTCCTTTTAAATCACTTAGTATCTGTTTTCTCCTGAGGAATTTCATCCAGCTTTTCAGCTTGGGGTGACTGAGAGCTGTATTTGCTATATTGCAGCTGATGTTGGTAGTTGAGGAATGAGCTCTTCATCTTACTCCTGCTCTCTACAAAATATCCTCTGGGCAAAGCACTGTTGAGGGGCATCATACATCATCAATCCTCATTTAAAGTGAAACTCTGCCAGAGTGTATCCTGTGCAGTCATAGCTCTGATTTGCCTGCCAAAGAAACTCCTTCAAAGTGACCATAAACATGGTCACTCGACTTGCCTATCTCTAGGTGATCAGCTCTTAGATTACCCACTAACCAGTTATCACAGCAATATAGATGGAGAACAAATTTGGAGGATGCATTTTGTGACTTGCTGCTCATACCTTTGTACCAGCTGATGGATGGGTGGGGGGCTCCTGTCACTTTGCAAGCCAGCTTGACTGTCTCTCCCAGCTCAGCTGTACAGTCTGCCAGTTCTTCCTCAAAGTCTGGAGGTACTGAAACATCAGAATAAGTGTGTTAGTCTGGAGAAGGGGACTCAGTCCATAGGATGGCTGCTTCTAAGTCAGATAAGAATAATTTTTTACACATCTGTGAGGATCAGAACAGAAAGATAAAAAGGATATTTTAGCAGCTCAAAACTTTCCAGGTGACATGCTGTCCTTGCTTATCTGAGACTAGATTCAGTCTGTAAAATATCTGTTGTTGGATATAAAGATGGGCCATATAAATACAGATTTACTACTGATTTAGAAGTATTTTAGGCCATGATTTTAAAAACTATATCCATTATTCAGACACTACACAGCTGCCACCATCAAGATAATTTCCCGATTAAAAGGCACCCTTGTTATCCAAACTAGTATTCTGTTGGTCTGCAGACAATAAAATCTAAGCTTTCACAGAGTATTAGAGTCCTAGAGTGGTTTAAGTTGGAAGGAACCTGAAAGAACATCTCATTCCAACCCCCTGCCATGGGCAGGGACACCTTCCGCTAGACCAAGTTGCTCCAAGTCCCATCCAACCTGGCCTTGAACAATTCTAGGTGTAGGACATTCACAGCTTCTCTGGGCAAGCTGTTCCTTTGTTAAGGGACTTTTCTAACTTAGTCCTACCATATGAAACTAAGCAAAATTATTCTTCCACATTAGACATCTCACCGAAGGCCCAAAAATTAAATGCCCAGATTTGTTTTCAGTGTGTATAAACTAAAACTGATTCTGCTCTGGCATTTTAAGATGTCAAATATCCTTATGCTGTAGTGGACATTATTTGTAGCTTATATATGGAAAATAAAGATCTAATTTCCCTGCTGGTAAATGCTGTGGATAGAAAACTGGTGGAAACTCAAATGATACTGAAGATGGAGCAGGCTGAATGACCAGAAAAAATTCCAAAGCAAGCCCAAGTCTACAAATACAGCAATGTAAACAAGAAGTTGAGTTGGGGGTTTGGTACCCAACAAAGTCACAGGGGCTCTTATACTGGTGTGAGTAGGTCTCTGGGTCATAATTTCTTCCTGATATCCAATCTAAATCTACCCTCCTTCAGCTTGAGGCCATTCTGCCTTGTCCTACCACTCCAGACCCTTGTTCAAAGTCCCTCTCCAGCTCTCTTGTAGCCCCTTTAGGTACTGGAAGTCTGCTATAAGGTCTTCTCTTCTCCAGGCTGAAGAGATGAAGACAGTCAAACACCACTTCCCCATCCTGATAAAGATGCCTTCCCCAGCTCAGGTGAAGGACCTAAGACTGCACTAACCATTCCAGTTAGTGCTTAATGCTTGTTGCCAAGTCATGCAAGTTGTTATTCACAGCAGCCTGCGCTGTGACTAAAGAAACACCTCCAACAGTTCAGTTTAAGCAGTGGCAGATAACCCTAAATAGTTTCTCTCCCTGTTTTGCTAATGTCCTTCCTGAATCAGTGAGACCACACAAGAAAAATACTAGGAGGTTTGGGCTATCTTGGGCCATACTTACTCCAGATAGGCTCACTGATCCTCTGCTGTATTCCACAGATCTCCTTCACCCAGGAATTTTTGATATTCACTGTACGTGCCTGAAGGAGGTACTTGCGGACCAAGTCCTCCCGTTCATGCCAGATCTCAAACGCTCGGTCATCCCCTTCCACGAGGTCATTCACATCTATGTTGTTCAGCTGTGTGACAGAAGGACAAGGAACTCAACACACATCCTGTGCTCTTAGGAATTTCCAACAGCAAGCAAAAGGGATAATTCACACTGCTTTTAAAGATTCTCTTCATATTGCATGAGCAATATGAAGTGACTTTGTCTGAGCTGCAATCAGAGTTACTTTGGGAATTATTTTCCCCACTATATTTGACTTTCTGGCTACCAAACTGACATTTTCTCAGAGAAGTTATCACATTTCAGGAAAAGGGCATCCAGCATTAAAGGGTATCCCAAGAGTGGAACACATTGCCCCTCCAGTGCAGCACTGTTGGGCCCAGGAATAGCACAATTAGAGGCAACATGAAAAAAAAATTAGAGACTAGGCATTCTCTGGACAGAGTATCACTTTTTTTTTTTTTTTTTTTAATGAAATCTGCCTATGAATATCAATGAGGACAGAGATAAGGTCTTTCAGAAGGTCCTGGCTGGGCTTGGTCAAGAACTCCATAGGTTGGTTGGTTGCTGTGTTTTACTGGAGTTGAGCATCTACTGCCTTATGAACACTTCCCTCAATTTCTTGCAGTTTTAACCCTGAATGTCTGTAAGTGAGTTGTCAAATCCTCTGAACTTTTTCATTTCTAAACATGAATTGCTGTCTGGAAAGGACATAACCAGCAAAGAGAACCTATGACTATAACATTTCTTCCAATTTACTCCCAATATTACCGACTGCTAAACTCAAAGATCTACAAATGCTGGCAAATACTTCATATCAATATGATTTATTTATGCAGTTAACTTGAGGTGACAGAGATGAATAAACCCTTGTACATGTAATCTTATCAAAATCCCACTTGTGCTTTTGGTGGTTTCTGGCATGTTTCTGCCAAATTTAACAGAGAGATTTTGGGATAAACATAGTTTCAACTTGTGCTTCAAAGACTTTTGAAAGCAACAAAATAGCTCAAAAGGATTAGAGAAATGTCCAAGCTGAATATAAATGTGAATTTCTAAATGACAGAGAAATTCTCTAGGTGAGGATAAAATGATCAGACCTTCATGATGTTCTTGAAAATGTAGCTGTAGGTGTCTGTCTTTGTGTCTCGCTTTGGTTTGCAGATCACAATATAATTTTTGAAGAGAAAAACATGTCTTTTGTGTCCTTTCCATGCCATTCTAGCTCCTGGAGCTCCTTCCCACACAATGAAGTGACCCTGATAGGAAAAAGAAGAATGTGTGGTGATACATCTGGAATAATTATCACAGTGATACCTCAGCATCATTTTTCAGTGCACAGATAACAAATTTTACTGTTACATTGTCACTTGATGTGTTTCTGGTTTATTGCAGCACAGCAGATGGTTTCTAATGCTAAAGGTGACTCATCAGGTTGACAGAACCATAGGGGCACATGCAGTAGTTGTCATTACATTGCCCTTTAAATGGTAATACTTGTGGCCAGAATAATACAGAGCACTTGTCAGGTAGGAACACTGTTGGAACTATTCATGGAAAATGGGATTTTGTTTATTATATAGACACTTTATATGCTGATTTGGTCACCTTCACCAGAGCAGGACATTCATTGCACACACCTTCAAGCACAGACTGCTCAGTTCATAGAATCATCAAGGTTGGAAAAGACCTTTGAGATCATCAAGTCCAACAGTTAACCTGTCACTCCACTGCAATCCCTAAACCATATCACCCAGTGCCAGATCCAGACACCTCTTAAACACCTCCAGAGATGGTGATTCCACCACCTTCCTGGGCAAACTATTCCAATGCCTGATCACTCACAGTGAAAACTTTTTTCTAATATCCAATCTGCAGCTCCCCTGTCTCAGCTTAAAGCCATTTCCTCTAGTCCTCTCACTGAAGACGTTAGTGACATGGGTTTCCCCAGGGCATCACTAGGGAGAAATAAGCACTCTTGGGTGACTGGACACTTTTTTGGATGTCCAAATGTGGATAGATGAATGCCCACCAGAGTATCACTGTCATTTAGCCTTACAACTCCACTCAGCAATACACTGCAATCCCTATGGAATACATGGGATACAAACAGGAAAAGTAAATTACTTGCCTAGTATGACATAGTAATTCTAGTAACAGGAATTTGAGTAAGTCTGTTCAATGTCCTAGACTATGTGTCCTGATAGCTGGATCATCTTTCCTCTGTGCTCCTAAAACACACATCTATTTCATGGGACAAACCTGAAGGAGCAGGTGCCAATAATTTCAGGAGTTGGCCCATGGAGAAGCAGGTGCCAATAATTGATGCCAATAATTTCAGGAGTTGGCCCATGTAGTTTGCCAATAATAAGAGAGGAGAAGAGAAAAAGAAAGCTTTAAAATCATGTGAGGACCAGGAATAAATCCATTCCTGTTGGATAAGTGGATCAGAAAGGCACATAACTATATTATGTGTGAATTGCTCCATCAGCATCTCTGCTCTGGTGCTTCAAACCTTAGTCAAGAAGGACACATATCTCTGAACAGCAAGAAATGGAATAAGAATAACTACATTATGTGTGAATTGCTCCGTCAGCGTCTCTGCTCTGGTGCTTCAAGCCTTAGTCAAGAAGGACACACATCTCTGAACAGCAAGAAATGGAATAAGCAAACACTCTGTTTCAGGTATGATTTCTAAAGGAGCTTCTGGTAGGTATTAATTCTACATAGAAACTTGTGAAGGCACACAAGGCATCAACACCAAGTGGGAAATTCCAGGTACCTGCCGGATGGGTTCACCAAGGCTTTCCAAGGTCCCTGGATAATTCTCAATGAGTGAGACATGGAGGTTGTTCTCTGCTCTCCGAGTGAGTGCAGACACAACAGCATAGGCCTGCTCCAGCAAAGTGCAGTTTTGGCTATTTCTTGCTTTGTTTCGGATTAATTCCTGTAGATGAATGAAGAAAATGTTATTGGACAATCAGAGGAAAAAACCACATTTCCTTCAGAGCCAAAGAATTTCTTAATATCTGTTCCACCTCTTTCATCTGAGCAGCTTTTAGCCCCTTCTTTCACCATGTGCTGCTTAGCTAATAAAGCTAAAAATAAAATATAAAGCTAATAAAGTTTAAAATATCTTTTCTTTCCTACCTATTCTTCAGCCTTAATGGCTAACCAGTCTGGCTTGTCCTTATCTCAACTGATATTAAACAAAGTTGAAACAAATAGCAGATATGCTTCAGTGATTGAAAAATCAAAAACTCCAAAGCAGTCCTAAATGTATCTCCTAAATGGCAGTGCTGAACTGAGTCAATATTAGATATATATAGAATAAAAAGAGAGGCTGAAAAAAATATGAAATGGCAGTTTCCCTGTTCTTCTCACATTTGTTCCTGTTTCTCTTTCAGCAATGAAGGGATGGAAAATGCCTTCAGTCTTCCAAGTGACCCTTCAAAATTTTAGTGGTTTTCTGCAAGAATGTGTTCAAAATTAGAAAGATCTTCAAACTATTCGAACTGCTCATTTACATAACACTAGAATACATAAGTATTTTGGCAGACAGTCACCTTCCTGGATATCCTAGTGCTATTTCCCATGAAAATACTATTAAAAATGCTGCTCTGAAATGCTTGTTTATGGTCGGGGCTAGAACCTGAGGCAGTAGGGCAGATGAAAGCTTGAAAGATGAAATATTTCAAGGTGGTAGAATAGGGCAAAGCTTTTCAGGAAATAAAAATTTCATCTTACTGTAATGTCAGCATAAAACAAGGAAAGAAAGCAGTAAGTCAAGATCTTAAACATCAGAAACTGCTTATTTTTATAACATAAATCTTGTTGAGTTTGAAGCAAATTCATACTTGCCATGGATGTATTCATACATTTATTCAGATATATATGCACATAAACATGTATTTTTTGCATACATGTGTTTAAAGATCATTCATATAAAGCTCCCTGAACTTTCTGTGATTGGAGACTATGATGCTGAACTTTCCCTGAACTTTCTGTGATTGGAGACTATGAACCTCTACCTGGATTTACATTTGCAAACCTATTAAGAGAACACTATCACTGCTGATGGTTGTTGTCTGTCTTACTCAAGCAGCTTTCAACTGTAGTTGCATCATAGAATCATAGAGTTTTAGGGGTTGGAATGGATCTTACAGACCATCTACTTGCAACCCTCTCTGCCATAGGCAGGGACACCTCTCCACTAGACCAGGATGCTCAAGGCTTTATCCAACCTGGCTTTGAACACTGCTAGGGG